CTGCAGCCTGTGTTTTTTTTTTCTCGTCCTCATCAGGCTTTGTTAGCCAGATGTAGGAAACTTCTGACATGGCTGACAATACTACAGGTCCTTCAGAGGCGAGGCAGAGAGGGAAGAGAGGCATTTTCTAGAGCAGCACTCTTCTTCTCTCTCTGCAGACTGAAGGACGTTTAGGATTGCGCATATTGAGAGGGAGCTGAATATATACGTAAATGGAGATGAGCTGCTTTTATTTAAAACATGAGACATTGGTTTTGCCTCATCTGTGGTTTTTGTTATGTTTACAAAAGGAAATTGATTTTTGGAAATGGAAACGGTTATAGTCATGTTGTGTTTACTGTAGGTTCATATAGTCATGGAAAAAATAAATAGAGGTTCAATTACATCATAGGATTTCTGGGTGGGAATCATAGGTCCATCTTCACTGATGACTTGACATCTCTCAGTGGCGCTCTCATCACTGAATAAGCACTAAAGACTGCTGAGGAATTGTCTTACAAACAAAATGGCAGCTCAACACTTCCTTATTTCTCTTGGAAATAGCAAGGTGATGTGTATGTCTGGAAAACTTAATTTAATTACTTTCACTGTTAATCGATCCTGGAATTCATGCTATATGTGTTTCACCTCTCGAAATTATGATTGAATCCTAGGCAACATTAAAAGACTGTCATAATTTCAATGGAGGGAAATGAGTAAAAAGAAATACATGTACAGAATTTTGATTTTTCTCATTCTGGCTGGCAGATTTTTGTATTTTTATCATTTTGTATTCTATCTGACTGTTCCAAATCCAAGAGATGTGCATGATCACATACTGAATGCTTAGGTCACCTGTTTGGCTTTTGTGAGATAATAATTTTACCCATATGAGCTGTACAAAGCACCTACAGTTTGATTTGGGTTATTCAGGGATAAAGAACTTCAAACCACATGAAAGAGAACAGTAATTGCACCCATTTTCAGCCCTTCAAGTGACATTCTGAAATAAGATGAGAGCATTATCTGATCTAGCCTTTCAGAATGAAGCTAAGGCTCTTTACAGGTTCTCAGGGAGTCACTCAGAACTGCCTTGTCCGTGTAAAAATAAGCTTTTAAATATAAACCATTTGCAAAGGACTCTTGAGTTTTTACTGGCGCGTTTTGGAGGGGATCTGCTTGGTTTCACAACTTGGTGTGAAACAAAAATCAGATAGTGATTTTGCCTGAAGATGAAGTGAAAAAATATTCTTGACATAATGTCCTTGAAAGCACATTCAGATCTGTCTTACTTACACTTCTGTTCTCAGTGTATTCATTACTAAGCTCAAAAACCATTTTTAATACTAATTAAATCTTGCATTGCACAAAGGACTTAACCAATCGCTCCTCTCAAAAAAAACCTGTCATGGATTCTCTAATCCAGCAATTTCCAGTTTTCAGTCAAGAACTGTTTGTTTCCGTAAATGTCCAGTTCCTGGTACAATGTGCAGCTTTAGAGAAGACATCTTGGTCAGGTGTGCTATCCAGGTACCGATGGCTTTGTTTCACTTCACTTGTGTTTACTATATCCGAGTGCTATTTAAAATAGATTTTTTTTATAGAATGATGTTAAATTAGTGTCATTTTTTTTGCAAATTGTCATTTACTGATTCAACCTAGCTTATGTGACAAATGAAAGCATGATGACATATTATAAGAAGAAATTAGAGCCTGCCAGATCAACTCCAATTATACAGGTTTGAATAAGGAAGTCGGTCCTTATTCAGACTTATTTTTATCATAGCATCAATGCAGAGAACTTACATTATATCTCCAAAACTCAGCGTTTATAGTTGTTAGATGCGAAATAGGATATTTAGAAAGGCTTAAGTACTTAAAAATGTGTCCAGCTGGAGTATACCTCCATAGTCTGTTGAACCTCTGTACGATTGCAATTATATAATTTCCCCTGCACAAACTTCAAAACTTTTTGTTATGTTTCAGAAGAAAAGCTGAAAATCACATTTTTCCCCACGTAGAAGTTAATTTTATTGATTTTGCTAGATGGTATTATGTATCCAGGTAGGACACACAGCAGCAACAAAGCGTTGTTTGTACCCATTTTGGAGCTAAATATAGGCATTTAAGTATGAGCATTCCAAAGTTCTGATTTTAAATTTAAATAAATTTAAATGACTATTTTAACTTAAACTAATTGCAGTTTTTGCAAACAGAAGCTGGCTTCACCAGAGCAAGGGGCTCAGCTGTCTCAAGGAGTGTCTGCTTCTCCTGTGGCATTACTGAGGTGACAGATCAGCTCTGGGAGTACAGATCATTTGTTTATGTGCGCGTGGGGCACCTTCTGGGAGACTGAACTCCACCACATAAGGAGGTTGACGTACAAGAGGCGGCCATGTGGATCCATTTAGCCCACATCCCAATTAGTAGCTAATCAGGAATCTCAGCCAGATCTCGAAAGAAGCCAGGGTATCGACTTCAACAACGTGGGCTGCATAGCCTGTTCCACGCTCCTGCATCCCTTTGTGTAAAGAAGTACCTCCTGTCCCGATTGGAGGTTCCCATCCAGCCTTTTTGAGAAGCCAGGGTAAGGGCTTCAACACCACAATCGGCTGCTTGTTCCAGACTTCCACAGTTCATGAGAGGCCTGTTCTTCTAGGGCGGTTGTGGTAAAGGGAGCAGCAAGTTAGGAAATCCATTTTTGTGTGTTTAAAACGCCACCGCCTCACCAGTAAGAACATCCCTCCGTGTCTCCCAGTGACATTGTCCGGACTTCCCTTTCTGTGGGAAATATACCTACAGGAGAAAAGTCAAGTGCTTGTTAACAGGTAGTGTTAAGTGCAGCAAAGCCGTTATCCTACAGTAAATGTTTGTAGATTTGCATTCAGGGGACTCCTGAACAAAACAATATATGCAGTCTCTGTTGTTCTTATTATTACTGTATAAACCCAAAGCACATTTCTTATTAGAAGCTCGCATGGTCATTGATGTGTACTCTTCCTCTCTTCAGCAACATTACACTTTCATTTCTGTAAGTTAATGTGAGGAATGTGACAACCCAGTCACTCACTCGCAGCGGGGAAGTGCTCTCTCCGCTTGCCCCTGACGCGGCTCGCGCTGGCGCCCAGTCCAGGTGGGGCAGGCCTGGCTGGCCCGAGCAGCAGGGGTGGCGCAGGGCGATTCTCCTTAAGCTCACCCCCCACACCCCCGTACGCGTAGCGGCGGGGCAGCTCTCCTGCCCTTCCCCCGGCGCTGTGCGCGGGCGGGGGGCGGGGGCCTGACGCTGATGCGAGGCTACAGCTCCCCCTCCGGGCGCAGACTGCGCCTCTGTCTGGATGTCTCTGCGTGGAGGCCGGAGGTGAGGCTCTGTCCGCGCTCCCGCACGGCCGCCGGGTCGCGTGGGGCCTGTTCCTGCCGCTGCAGGACCCACGACTTGTTCCAGGAGTGCAGAGGGAAAACTGCAGCAGCAGAAGGATCCTTCACATTTACAACGGCCATGACCGGGCTTCCAGAGGCACTGGGAGGACTGAAAACCTGCACTAATGTAAAACACATCTGTCAGTGCTGGTGTGCTCTTATCCACATTGTGTACTTTAACTTAACTAATGAGGTATTTCAGTCATGTTTTTTAAGGGGCTTGAAGGTGGAGAATTTTCATTGTCAGAAACGTTTACAGGGCTTTGAGATAATTTAATGATTCCTGTTTTATCTTGTTGCACTCAGAGAGAATTTCTTGCACACCCGCTGCACATAATGGCAAGTGAGATCACAACTGCGTTCTGAAGTTTTGCCATTCCTGTGAAATATCAATACAAATGTGACAATACAAATGGATAACAGCAACTTTTAGGTGTGTCCACTTGCTGCAACAAACCAGCAACCCACAGGGCAGTCTGTGGTTTCTTTTTAGATTAGTTCAATGTTGCTATTATTGCACATAAGGAACAAACAACTTTCAATTCAACCTTATGGGTTTACTGGGATCTTTTAATTAACTGTTAATGAAAACTGTCAGTTTGGTTGACTGAGTATGGAAATAGTTGGAGCATTTAAAGAATTTCATGAAGGGTTGTGATTACAGCTAGTAGTCGCTGCAGCTCATGGAATAAACTGGAATAAACACGGAAAATTCAGAATCTGGGACTATGCTATTAAGCATACTCTTCTGTTTATCTTTAAAGCGATGGAGTAGTTTTATATTTCTGAATATAAAGGGGGGTTTTTTTTACCACCCCCTTCCCCCTTCGGGTTCCAAACCAAAAAATCAGAATCAGCTAGGAATGTTAAATCCCACATTCAGCTTTGCTGTCATGCTCTTTTTGAGAATGCATAATTTCCTTTCCGGGTCTCAGAAATATGATGAGAAGAATGTGAATGTTTAATGGAAATCGGAGAAGGGTCACGTGCCGTGGGAGTGCTAAGTCATGGTGATTGCCCAGCTCTCAGCCCTCACTGGTGTGATAGGTGAAGGTCAACAGGAAGCCTTTGGAAAAGGCATTGCAGCCTGCCCTGTCCCCCCCTTTTTCTGGGAGAGCTGGGGGATGTGGGTGATTTTCCGATAACCTCACGCCAGCAGCCATATCACCCTGCAGCTCACAACCGGCAGCCCCATGAAGTTCAGCAGGTGTGAGCCTGGTCAGTACCTGGATGGGAGACCTCCTGGGAAAAACTAAGGTTGCTGCTGGAAGAGGTGTTGATGGGGTCAGCAGGGGGCGCCCACCCTGCGGTCCATGTGGGTCCTAATGCCCCAGTATAGTGATGGGGACACTATACTGTAAAAATGGCACCATCCTTCAGATGAGACATAAAACCGAGGTCCTGACTCTCTGTGGTCATTAAAAATCCCAGGGTGTTTCTGAAAAAAACTTATAAAGAGTTTTGAAACAATCGGGATCTGAGCAGGCCTGTTTTGAAAACGAGGTATATCGTTCAGGAGAACGGTTGATGTCCGTCGCGTGGAGAGCCATTCTTCCTGACTGCCTCTGTGAAGGTGAACTGCTGAGGTTTCCCTGTGATTGCAGGAAGGGGCTTCCTGAAGGCAAGCTGAAGCCGGAGGACAGGGAGCAGGCCAAGCGGATCGTCTACTCCGTGGTGTACGGAGCAGGTAAGGCCCTCTGCCAGGCTTTGAGCCGTAGCCTTGCACACACGCACCAGAGGACACAAGTGGGCTGAAGGGCCTGCTCAGAGAAGACTAGAAGGGGCTCTGACCCAGTCATCCCAGCGGTCTTCCTCAGAATGAACAATGAAACACAAACCAGGATTCACAAGTGGAAATTGAAGGGAAGTAGATTTAAAACTGAAAGCAGGAGGCACTTCTTTACTTAAAGAATTACAAGATTGTGGAACAAGCTGCCCAGCTATGCTATTGAAGCTGATACGCTGGTTTCCACCAAGAAACAGCTGGTTGAGATCTTTGGATCAATTAGCTACTAACTAGAAAATGGGTTAGTTGAACTGAAAGACCTCTTGTTTTCATTCTTTCTTACTTTCGCTCTGGGTTGGGCCACATGACTCGGGTTCTGCCAGTAGCAGGCCATTCTGACACAGTAGACATTTGTGAGGTGTCCTGCCACAATGACAAACCTCCCCGATCTAGCATTAGTACGTGTTCATGATTGCACAAAGAATAAATCATCTATTTATTAAAGGTTGCCTAAATGTTATTGCTTGCATTCTTGTTTGCTTATATATCCTGTGTCACTGGCTTGTGCAGGTGTTCGCAGTATGAGACTCCAGCTTTCCCTGATTTATAAATCATGCGCGTGAATCCATCTGAGGATGTGTATTTCAGATGTAATATTTGTGACAGACAAATCCTGTGTAGCACGTTCCAGGATTTCAGCTGCTGTCTCTCACCCACTGAGCTTCACAGCGCACAACAAGTATAAGTGCTTTAGCCAAAAGCCAGACTGCACGCTTCAGGGGAGATGACATGGCTCTGTCTGTCTCATCTAGCTCTGGCATCTGGTGTCCTCTGTGACCTCCTGATCAGGTCGGACAGCTGAGAGCTGTCCTGAACTCCCAGTAGTGTCCTCATATAGTATACACAGCCATAATAAAGACTAGCTATAGGAATTTTCACAAGAGCAATTTAACCTACCAGGTTGTCTTTGGACTGAGGGCGGAAAACGGAGGGAATGGTTCTCTGCTTTGTCTGGGGTGGGAGGAACGAACACATCACCAGGAACGGGATGAGCCAGGCGGTGGAGAGTGGAGGGGGAGACGTACCCCACTTCTCCTGAAGCTGGACTGCATCGTCTTCCGCAACCTCTGCCAGGCGCTACAGAGCCCAGTCAGACAAAAGTTCCAATTTCTTTTTTTGTCGGGCTGTAATTCACAATGCTGATGTGGCATTGATCCAGTGATCAAACACTGGACGGGAGGCAGAGAAGCAACTGGGACCCTACTCTCACTGTGGGACTGTGGGATAAAACCAGTGGGCCTGGAGGAAACCCACATGAGCACATGGAGAACATACAAACTCCATGCAGACAGCACCCCAGGAATTGAGCCCAGGGCCCCAGTGCTGCGCCCATGTTACCACCTATTTTGATTTGTTTGAAGTTTCATATCATGGGCACTGTTTTAAAGCTTCCTCGCTGCTTCCACAGGCTGTGCAATACGTTGCCACTGCGCATGGGCACCCGGGGTCAGTACAGTATGTGATAGAAATCTGCACAGGTCAAGCAGCGTCAGACCAGACAAGCGCCCTGGTCACTGGGCTGTGCTCCTTTACAGTGTGGCCTTCAGCCTCCCCCAGAGCACAGCTTCCAGGCCAGTAAGTCAGCTGCCACCTTGCCAGTGCAGCACTGACTCCTGGGCTTTTCCCAACAAGCCAGCTTAAGGATTTGCAAGAAATGACTGCTGTATTTAATCAGCTTAGTTTCTCTCTCTTTTCCTCAATGCCCAATTTAAATACAAGTATAAAAAGCCTCAAGGAGAACACATGATGTCCTTGAGCTCATTTCAAATACAGTAGTGGCCATTAGTACGTTAGACTTTTTCCCCTCCCATTTCCTAAAGTGTTGCGATTGTTAATGAAGGCCGTAACTGCCATACTCTCTGCTGCATTTGATTGGTCTCTGGCATTACAGTCTTTAATGCTGGACTGAGCACGTCAGTTATCTTCTCTACTGTGGTACTTTGAAGTGTAATGTTTCTTATTCATCAATCGCTATTGCTCCTTTTTAAATTGGCTCTTCATATTATTTTACCCCATGGCGTTAGATTAACACATTTAGCCATCCCCCTCGGACCACACCTACACCATCACCATCTACCTCATTATGATTTCTTATCTATTGCACATCTCCAGTCATTGTTTACACGTCTGTATTGTTTACATTCAAACTGTCTACATGTTTACTTGTACATTGTCTACTGTTTGTTTGTACATTGTCTTGATGCACTGTTTGCACTTTGTTTTGTTACACTTGTTTTACAATCGAGAGACTTTCTGTAAGTAAGAATTCCATTGTTCCAGTACCGGTTACATATGGCAATAAAGTTCAAGTTCAAGAAGATTCTGATATTTTGATGACAAACAAAAGCAGGCGCTGCTGTCTTCAGTTCCTCAGCCTTAAAGTTGAGACTGGCCGCACAGTGTGGCGGGAACTGGGTCTCAGTTCTGAGCTGGGCGAATGCACTGTGAACACGCGGAGAGCCCCTCGTCTTCCGCCGTGTAGTGGGAGGCGGGGGTGTGGCCCACGCGGCTCATGGGGGCAGCCAGCGTGATCTCCGCCGCATATGGAGGGCAGCATATGTCCTCCCCGTGCGGGGGACCAGCAAATTGGACCCGCTCCTAGAGAACGGGCTGGGCTCCAGCGTCGGATCTCATCAACAACGGAGAACGCCAGTTCCCTCGAGTGAATTAAGGTCGTTCTAAAGTATCTGTTCAGCCTGGTGAGCAATCAGAAGAAGAACGATAAGCTCATGTTCGATGATTTAGACAAAACGTTGAAAAAATAACCAATTAAATACTTGACATTCCTGTCTGAGTGGAAGCACTGCTGTGCGTCGGGAAAGCTGGTGGAGTTTAAACAGCACTGTTGCTTAGGGATGGAATTAGACTTATCTGCTGATAGCTTAGCCCGGTGCTGTGCAGCTATTAAGCGCTGATTGCTGATTGCTTTTCCAGGTAACTGCGTAGCTGCTGTGCTGTGCAGTTCCTGCAAGCCGCTCTTTCTTCCCAAAGCATGGATCAGTCTCTGCTGTGGCTTAGCAGAGCTCCGGTTCCTTTAAGAGCCCTGAGAGCAAGCGGCTGTTTCTAGCTTTGGTAAATCCTGCAAGGTACAGGGGAAACTGCCGACTCCAGCACGCTTCAGCTAAGCGCCTTGCGAATCCGTGAGACGGTCAGGCGCTGGTGTCTGTTGCCACCGCGCGATGTTGGCAGTTAGGAGCACATTTTGTGAGCAAAGCAGATGGCAGCTTAGATGCGTGGTCTATTTTAATGATGCCACCTCAATGTTACCTTCTGTTTATAACTTTCTATCCAGAAGTGGTTCCCATCAGCAGCTTCAGGTCTTGCCATTAGTGATGTGGGCGTCTAGGAACATCTGATTTCTTACATCTAATCTAACGTAGGATTGCAATACATTCAGCTTCGTCTAAAGAGAGAAGCAACAGCAGTATGTGCGATCTCCCCTGAAGCATTTTCCATATTTCATTTATTTCCATAGTAAAGTCGTAATTGATGTTTTGCACTTACACAAAGGAACAGGCACATCTGGATTTTTTTTTTTAAATGTGTGCCTTGTATCCATACTGTAGTTTAAAGACCTGGAAAGATTAAAGCAAACATATTAGAAATGCTTTCCAAATGTATACAATGGTTTAAAATATTTTCTGTTGTTGCCCTGCCAGGATGTTCTTTGTAAGCACATCCTTAGAAGTTTCATCTAACAAGTTGCAACTCTTTAATCACGTTAGAATTGCCTTGAAAGAATGACAGGAGCAATGCATTATTTTCTACCTAACTGCTGTAAGCTTATGTTAAAAAAACAGTCACAGAGGCCTTTAGATACGGTATGTGCCGTTCTTGTATTAAATGTGCCTTCAGCTGCCTTGCTTTCTGTGGGAAGAACGTAGATAAAAGCTCCTGTAAGAGAGCAGTGGTGCTGAAGGCAGTGAGAAAGTACGACCAAGAGAGAATCCTGTTAACCCCGGCAATTATCCCTGCTGGCTAGTGAGCCTATTTCTATGGTTACGGAATACTGAATTGGTACTGGAAGACAATTAAAGGAGAGGGCCTGGCAGTAGCGTTCGTCATGGCAACTGACACAAGTGGGTCAAAAGACAGTAAATAGATCACCAAGCTGCCCTGTCGTGTAGGGGCAACAAAAGAGAGAGGAAGAAATACCAAAAAAAAGAAAAACCGGACCAAAGAGGATGAACGGGAAGAGGGAAACGGGGCCGTTGTGGGTGTTCGGAATGACCTCAGGCTGGAGGAATGCGGAGAGACATTTTCCCATCAGCTTCTGCCAGTGAGGGCTGAGGCACTACATCACTCCACAGCACAAGCCAAACTGTAGATGCTAAGGAAGCCAGCAGGCTGGACAATATTAGGACTTCCAGGTTCAGAA